TTTTTTTTTTTTTTTTTTTTTTTTCTGCGTTCCCATCTCAGTGGGCGTACTTTTCTTTCGCCTTTTTCTGATGCGAGATTATTTTGCCCATGCATAGAATTTTCACCCCACCACGGGCAAGGGTCCACTTGGCGTCGTCACCAGCCTTTTCCGTCCAGCAGTCAAACCTGTCCGCCACACCCCTGTAATTTTGCCAGCAGCTGGCAGCAGGTCAAATTAACCGATGGCTGGTGACGAGGCCGAGTAGACCCTTGCTTGCTAGCAGGTCAAACCTGTCCGCTACACCCCTTTAATTTTGACCCCTTTAATTTTGGCCCCGTTCATTTGGTGGCTGCATGCAGGGTAGCTCGGCGAGGTACGGCTGGTTTAAAGTGGAAACCCAACCACACCCCTTATCATTGGCAAACCTTACGAATCACCAACAATTTGGTGGAGGGAGCTCTGTGGCTTGACGGTGTTCCTCAACTATTTATTAAATTTATTTCATGATATTACTTATGCATCTCCACTCCACGCATCTTCCTTGAAAAATGTCACTATTTTATATTCTGCATATAAGCCTTGATGGGTGCCTGTTGGGGTGGTGGTGCCTGTTGGGGTGACATTTTTTCAAGCCTTCATGTGGAAGGGGAGGGGGAGGCCCCCATATAAGCCCTTTTTGATGGATGCATGTAGACAATTATGGGTTGATTGTTGGAAAAAGGTGGTAGAATCTTTTGTCTGCAGCAGTTTGATGAGTATCGCCTGTTAGTCCCTCTCCTCTTCTTCGACATTTGTGCTTGTGTGGTTGGCCAGCTAATCCCTCTCACATCATGATGACCTCAAAAGTCCTCCGAACGTTTTTTGTGTACCTATCGTATCCAAAGGTATGGAACTCGATAGGTGTGAACGGAAGAAAAACTAGGGAAGATTATTAGGTAGGTTTAAGGTGCAGCCTCTTCCTCCCCCTCCCCCTTTTCGCAGGGGCTGTTTTGGGGGGGGGGGGGGGGGGAGAGCTTTGATTTCCTGACAGCTTTGTTCTGATCAGTGAAAAAAAAAACTGTGAGGTAATCAATCTCGTACTTCCTCGAAATGGTTAGGAATGTTAAAAAAAAGACAAACAAAAAAAAAAAGCAGAAATGATGGATGTGGATCGGCTTCGATTCTCTTGTGGAAATTTGTGCAAAAAGAAACGAAACGAAACGAAAAGGAAAAGAAAAGAAAAGAAAAGAAAAGAAAAGAACTTTGTGCGGCCTCCGTGTGGATCATGAAGGGGATTGCCCTGCACTCCTCTTCATGTTGTGTTTTAACTTTTAAGCAGTGTTTTGTTTTTTCTTTTTCTTTCTTTCTTTTTCAGTTTTTTTTTTTTTTTTTTCCATTCCAAGAAGACTTCGGTCATTTGACATTTTGCAGTTCTCATTTCGCTCATTTGGTTTTGGCAACATTTTGCATGTTTTCACAGGACCCCAAAAATCTCTTGATGATGAGGAGGTGGAGTTTTTGGATGCCGTCGAGAGGGTACTGCCACTTTTCCCTCCTCTCCTCTGTGGTGACAGGATCTGACTGTCAGAAGGGTATGTGTCAGACTGTGTTCCTTGTTTTACCCTCTCTCTCTCTGTTTTTGTTTTTTTGTTTTTTTTTTTAGTTTTTTTTTTTCAGTTTTATTTTTGTCTTCTTTTGTTTCGTTTTGTTTTGTTTTTCTGTTTTGTTTCATTCTCAGGAATGCTTCCCACCTGTTCAGACTTGGTCAAGACACATCCTTTTTTGAAGGTTTGTTTTTGTTTGGTGATGATTACCAATTTTTTTAACCAAATCCAAGAAGAAATTTGATGAACGGAACTTACTCTGCAGGCATGGATTTGGTCAATTGGTGATGATTACCACAGGCTTGGGACTCGGGACTTGGGACTAGGGACTTGGGACTAGGGACTTGGGACTTTGCTCCAAGGAGTTTTTTTCCCTCCTTAAGCATGGACAGCGCAAAATTACCAATTTAGTATTTACCTTTTTTTTTTATATATATATATAATTTGGACCATTTCTCGATTTATGCGTGTCATCCTTGTGCAGGGGCCATGCTAATCTTAATTCTCTGTATCGTTCCAATTTTAAACCACCACTGCCCCCGCCGGGCTAAATTCGTTTTCCTGGCCTTACGGACTGGGGTTTTAGGGGGGGCGGCGACCGGCAGGCGCAGGCGGGTCCGGTCCAATGATTGTCAATTGGCGATTTTTCGCGCTCAGAAGAATTGACGAAAAAATCTGAAATTTTGAGATCCTGTAGATTAGGTTGTGATCTTTCCAGGAAAAATATCAAAAAATGTATTCAAAAAAAAATTAGAGCGTGAAATAAATGCCGTGTCGTTTCGTTGTGTTTTCCATTTTTGCCACTCTACCACGTGGCCCAACGGGAAAAGTACCCCAACTTCTGCAATTTTTGGCGCTCAGAAGGATGACTCGACAACTCTGGAAATTGGAGGGCCTGTAGATTTGGTCGTGGTCTTTCCACGAAAAAAAAAAAAAGAAAAGAAAAGACCGTGAAATAAATGCTGCGCCAATTCGTCCCATATTCCATTTTTGCTGCTCTATCACGTGTCGGCCTACCCCGACTTCAGCGATTTTTCACGTCCAATAGAATAGTCCAAGAAGTCGGAAAATTGGAGGGCCCGTAGATTTCATCACGATCTTCCTAGGAAAAAAAAAAAAAAAAAAAAAAATCAACCGCGAAATAAATCGCGGGGGCAATTCAACGCATTTTCCAATTTTGCCACTCCACCAGTTCCCCCCCACTGTGCTACCGGTAGCCCTCATGGACCTGTGCTACCGGTCCCCCCTAATTAAGGACGGCGGGGGTAGTGGTGGTTTAATGGATGTCCCGAAGGACACACAATTTACCAAATCTAAGAGGGACTAAACTAAATTCCCAAGTCCCATTCCTGCCTAAGCATGGATAGCAAAGTCCCAAATCCCATTCCCATCCAAGCATGGATAGCAAATCCCAAGTCCCAGTCCCTCTTAAGCCGCCAGTACACAGGCCCAGCCTTGCTGAAAAGAAAACTCGTTGCCTATGAAATTTTCGGAGGCCCAGAACCATCGATAAATTGAATCGGTGGCGGGCGGCCTTCGAAAAGGGCCCGCGGTCGATAGCTGGATGTACTGGTGGTTCAAGCATGCATGGATTTGTGCTCCAACCTGTTTCCCTGTTGTTCTCAGATAACGCCAGCATGTGATCGGACCCTTACGTCTCCGGTGGCGGTGTCATCCATGGTAGGGACCCATGTGGATGAGATGCTTTGCAGTGAAGGATTGGCGTGAACTCCTGTCTCTTATACACATCTAACGCCAGCATGTGATCGGACCCTTACGTCTCCGGTGGCGGTGTCATCCATGGTAGGGACCCATGTGGATGAGATGCTTTGCAGTGAAGGATTGGCGTGAACTCTGAGCGGGCCCGCGGGCAGGCCTGATCTGCTCAAACTGACCAACTGATGCCATTTGACATTCTTCACCTAAAAAAGGGGAAGTAGCGACCAGGATGTAAGGATGGGAAATAGGGAGCAGGGGGCAAGGATGGGCAGGGAAAAGAGGCAAGTAAGGGGAGAAGGAAAAGAATGGTGGAGAAAGTAGGTGAAGGGGGGGGAGGGAGGGAAGCTAAGCCATTGAGTGGGCTGAGGTGGAACTCATATAGGGTGAATGAGCACAGGAGAGAGTAAGTTGATGAGTGAGTGAGCGATGAAGCGACCAATACGAAGGAGTAAATGCGGGAGTGGGACAGAGAGAAAGCCCCTCCTCTATCACTAAGGGCATGCGCGCACAGTAGTTCTTTTTTTGACTGCACTTGGCCCTACTTACACTGATAATTCATCCAGGAAAGTCTTATCGAGTATTGCGTATCGTCCAACAGGTGCAAAAGGATCCTTTACCCAAGAATGAACCCAAATTTCACCAATTGGGACCTAGGTCCTTAGCCCATGCTCCTCTGACAGGGGCCAAATTTCACCAACTGGGGCCTGGGGCCTGCGGCTTGACTTGCTACAGCTATTGTCTTCGAAAGAATCGAAACTTTCGAAAGAGAGTCGGCAACTTTGGCTGCTTGGCCAGTGTGACTGCAGGGGTGGGTGGGATATCCATGGCCTTTTTTTTTTTTTCTTCTTTTTTTTTCCTTCCACTTGCAAGGAACATGARTATGGACGAAGCACAGAAATCCAGAATGCAAAATCACACTGAAGTCCAAGTAGTCAAAGCCAAAGCAGATAGCACATGGAACTGAGTAACCATCCAATTGAGAATGATACAGAAGAATCGTGAGTCAATGTCCATGCCCAACAGGGCAACACCAACAGCATAACCCAAATGTAGCTCTCTCTTGTGAATGGCGCCAGGCGCCCTATCTACTCTACAGCCTATCATACAACTACAGCAATGAAAAGCAACCAGACAACTTGACTACCAGCGAGTGATGATGTCAACACCAATGCCGACCTCCACCTTCACCAGGTACGTGTCCTTTTCCCCACACTCTCCCTTGTTACCCACACAGCGCCCTTCACCTCCGAAGAACCACCTTCGCCCTTCACCCCTCTGCCCTCTGCAGCCTGGCTATGGCCGCCAAGCGCCCAGTGCACAGGCAGCGCCCTACCGCCTAGCGCATGCCTGCCTTGGACCACCTCTTAGCGCAGCGCAGCAGCAGCAGCAGCTCACTCGCCCTGCTTGCCTATATGCCAGTGCAGCGTGTGGGCGGCCTCCCTTCAGCCTGTGACCGGGGCCCAGAGGCTGAACCCAGCCCGATACAGTTGGGCCCCGGGGCAATGCAGTTGCGCCTCCTTCATCAAGGCCTACGGCCAGATTCAGATAGTGGGCCGATTTCCCTTTGGCATTTTCGGCCTCTATACCCAGCATGCATTGTCGGCCTCACRTTCRAGTGCCCAGGGCCTAACTAACTCAGAGGCCCTGGGCTTTCAGCATTTGCTGAAATCCGAGACTCGGTGCACTCCAACCAACTGGCGTGCTGCAACTGTATGGACCCCACTTCGTGAAATGTTGGCAAAGAGGGCTCTTGTTGATTTGCTGGCCCGCCTTCACTTAGGGCGGGCACGAGGCTTGCTGGGGCCTTAGCCCAGAACATGTACATCATGGCAAGGCCCCTACTTGAGGGCTCGTTCCTCACACCCTCTTCTATTCCTCCTTTTTTTTAATTTGAAAATTTTAAAGGATGACGACGGCCTTGAGATATCATCATTGAACGGACCGGCCCCAGGTAATTCAAATTTCAAATTGAATTTATTCTGGTTAATGGTCATAATGTCATCTGATTGTATCGGGATTCGAACTCGGGTCTGCATTTCAATCGTTCGTTGTCTGTACCAACTTAGCTATGCCCCTGTTGGTATGTGTGTGTTTTTGTCATTCCCACTTGGAGTTTGCTTTTGTGCGTGGCAAGGGGGGAGACGATGCACGAGAAAGATGGGGATCTCCGGCGGACGGCATCTCATTCTCATTCCGCCCAGCCCTGCATATGATGATGTATAACTTGGAGGCTGCGGATTTTAACCGGAGTCGTCGATGGCTGATGTTTGCGTTGTTTTGGTTGTCTTCTTTCAGCATCGCCGAGAGACAGAAAGGCAGGCCGCGGAGGAGGAGAAGGCCGCGCTTATCAATTTTCAGGTAAGTTAAAATGGAGCCATACTCCACCACCAGACTCCTTCCTACCTTCTTCTGCCGAATGGCCGAATGCAACGTATGGTCATTATATCTGTATGTATTTGGGGCATCTTTCAGTCTAAATACAGCTAATATAATGACCGTACATTGTATTCGGGGGGGAAGAAGGTTAGTATGCCTTCTCTGTCCTCTTCATGTGTGGCAATCGATCACCATATCACGATCATGCTGAAGAACAGGGAACAGCGATCGGGTTGCGCTGATATTTTTGTGTGGTTGGGGAGTTTATCTCCCTCTTCAGTCGTTTGCTACTACGGGCGACTGACTGTCTTCACGCGAATAATAAGTTAATAACACATTGTCATTGTCGCTGTATCTAGGCTGGAAGTTGCCCCAAATACACTGATAACGACCATTCGGTGTGTGTGCTGTTATTGTGGTCTGCAACATCACTTGGTAGATGACGATCGATGTGTTGTGGGTGATGCTGACAGTATAGCCATACCTTGTGCTATACATGCCAGTGCTATATACGCACTCACTTCGTCAGCTGATGGCTATATGCATCTGTAAATGAAGCACAAAGAAGACGGACGGACAGAGAATGGATGACTACCACCGTCTTCACCCTAAAATAACGCCCGGGCATTGTATATGAAATTATGAATATAACGCCCGCCGGGCGTTATGTTCGCTTATAATGCGCGTGGGCGTTATATTCAGTAAATCGGTGGCAACTTCGGTGGGGCCACAGAATTCTCCTCCCCCCCCCAAAAAAAATAAATAAATAAATAAATAAAATCTGTAAAATATATATGTTGCCTACAATTGCAATGCAACCAACTTTTGGCTGAGGGTCACTTGAGAATTCCGTCTAAATTTGGAAATTAAAAAAAGAAAAAAGAAAAAAGAAAACCAAAACGTACCCCTAGGAAAGTCAAAAGTTCTCAAAACCCCTTTCAGCCCCCTTTTAAAACCCATGTAGACCCCCTTCCCCNCATTCAAATATAACGCCTGGGCTTTCTATTCGAATATAGCACCCGGGTGTTCAATTCAAATATAACACCTGGGCGTTCTATTCGACTAGAACGCGCGAGCGTTCTAGTCGAATAACGCCCGGACGTTATATTCGAAAGGGTGTAATATTCGGAACAAACTGAGTAAAACTGTAAAAAAGTAAAAAAAACAAAAATCTGATCTTTCTAGGGAAGTTGAATATATAAGGCCAGGGCGTTATTTTCGGGTGAAGACGGTACACTTTGTTTTTGTGGGGGGTTAATTGCTAATTATTAATTACTGATTTTCTCTTCCTTTCCTTTTTGCTCTGCATGCTACATCCCCTTTTTTGTGCTGCTGATGAACTCGCCGGCGACCATGCCTTTCTGATTCTCTTTACTCTGAACATATTTGCACCCAAATAGAACGCCCGGTCATTATATCTGGTTTTGGGGTAGCTTTCAGTCCAGATGCATCAATAATTCCTGGGCGTTTTATTCTGGTGAAGACGGTAGTCCTTTCCCCGATGTATCTGACCACAATGATTGAATTGAATTGAAGTTGTTCACAAGTAGTGCAAACATACGAAGTGTAAAGCAAACACAAGGTGTGAAAGCAAAACACAAGATAACACACACATTGTCACCTAGGTGACACGTAGACCCAAATCAGAGTAACCATTGGTTTCCACTTATCAAAACCGTCACGCCCAAGAACCGCCACGAACCACGTTCCACCCGCAGCGACATCCCACCGTCGTCACAGTCGAAGTCGACTGCGGGAACCAGGAGGTCGAACTAATCTAGCCTACGTATTATATAGCTTACTTGCGGAAAATGCGGCACGGTCCGCTCTCCTTGTTATGAGGTAGAGGGACCGAAATAGAAAGTACTTCTGCTTCCTACTACCAGCTTCTTACCCTGACCTGAAAACAGACTAACATAGGCTGCAGTCCCACTGAAAAGGTAGACTGTTCCTCTCAGCCTTCTAGAAGCGTCTGGAGGCCGAGTCGCTAAGTCCAGGCTTACAGGACACAAAAACAGGTACTACCTATCTCTCATCATTGGTACACAGTTCGAACCCTTGCAGCAAGCACACACAGTCTAGTAAAAAACAACAAAAACAAAATCACAAAAAAGCAACCTTCCCGGCTTACTGAAACCCTGTTCGAATCCTTGAAGCAAGCACACACAGTCTAAGTTCACTGTTCCCCTGTTCGCGTACTTAGTCCTACCGTTCGTCACAAACAAACTAAATTGTCTGTCTCCATAGCCCATCACGTCTGCTACCGAATCTGTGAAATACCCTGTTCACAAATTTCACTGGAAAATCTTTCTTCACCAACTCCTGCTGCAGTCCCAGCACTCGCCCCGGTATCTCTGACCGGATGGAGGTATTCTGGTTAATACGGTGCAGATGGCTGCCGATCACGACGCTTTTCTGCTTCTTGCTTCCCCAGGAATGGAAAGACTGACCATTCTGGATTAATAGCTTGTCTTGGGTCCAAATCCTATCCTCATTCCGTGACAACTGCATGCAGCCTACATACGGATAAGTTTGCCTTGTCCGAATCTGGCAACCCAGAAACTCCAAAGTGCCTGACCCGTCATCCATCCTTTTCAGGACCAGTCCCTCCGGGTAACAGTTAGACAACGCCTCGAAGATCAGTGCCCTCGTTTTCTCATCCCGACTGGATATGATTAACAGCACATCATCAATCAAACGCAGTGCACCGAAGAAACGGCATGCTCGTCTGAGGGTGCATGTTAACTGGTACTCAGAGTATGCGCACATGATGCAGGCGATCGGCGGGCTCATACTCTTGCCCATTGGCACACCTACCACCTGTCTCAGTAATACCCCTGTTGCGTAGAAATATATGTGCTCAATCTCCAACTGCACGAAGCTCTTCACTTCTTCCAAATTCAACCTCTTCCAATGGTCAGCTCCTGTCGTAATCCCAAATGTCACTCCTTTCCCACGGGTGTTCACTCGCACCGACTCGTGTCCCTTTGACATATGGTGGTCGATGATCCAGTCAACAGCTTGCAGGATGACATCGTGAGGTAACTTACTAAACATTTCCTTGATGTCAAATGAGTAGGAAGTTACCTCACGTTCCCCGGGCAGTTTACTCAGTCTACTGTTTATTCTTTCAATTTGCGCTGTCAAGTCTGAGACAGCTCGAAGGTTGAAGTGCCAACTCTTTGGCAGATTGTACAGAAGGAAATTCAATGCTTTACTCATCATTCTTGCAGTTCTCACCATCGGTTCTTTGAACGATGGACAGATCGGTCTGAAACGACCCCGATCCTTCTGCTTTGGAATAACATACGCAGCACCGAACGTTGCCTTAGCATCCCAGTTTACTGTTTTCCAAATCCCCCGTAGCTGTGTGTCCTCCCGTACCTCCCTCAACACCTGTGCTTCACTGTAGCTGACAATACGGTATCCCGGATTGCATACAAACGTGCTCATCATGGCATCGAAATAGGTAGCTGGGCACATTACAACCGACTCTCCGGGGTTCTTATCTACTGAAGACACAACAAGATCTCCTAGTCTCTTCTTCAGAGCTAAGACTTCGGTCACGGACACACTCAGCGACTGACTAGTCCCTGAAGACAAGCAAGCAGACAAATCAACCTTAGCACAATCCGGGATAGCTCCTCCCAGATTCTTCCAGTCTCTGAAACCTGTGATCAACTCCTCGGGAAGGAGTTGCAATCTGTCGGCCACTTCCACTCTCGGAATGTTATTTGCATTCGACAGGAGTGGGTGCAAACCAGCTACCTCACTTAGTCGAAACCGAACATGTCCATCCACACGCGGGAAATCCATACCCACACAACTGCAGGTAAGCACACCATTAGTCGAGGCTCGTCTATGGTTATGCAAGATATCAGCTATCGTAGGATTTTTTGTTCCTACGATGCGAATTTTCCTACGCGCGCGAAGAGCAAAAGTGGCAACTCATCAGTAAATCATTAGCATCTTTCCTAACCTCGGAGATCACAATCCGACTATCAAACTTAATATTAAATGTGAGATCTGCAGACAAACTTAGCTGAAACCGTTCCCGAAAACACCGAGACAACAGTCTGCGTAGATACTTCCTTGTCAATTTCTTGGAGAAGTCCTTGACAACCTGATAGACCCGTAACAGTGCTTTCATGCCCCAATGATACAGGTCTTTCAACTTCTGGGGGTTCCGTAATATTCCAATTAACACCTTCTTCAGGTAAGTGCACTTTGACTTCCACTTAACGATATGTACAACCTCGAATTGTCCGCCTTTCTCAATCAGGCTCTTACAATCCTTTAGCGCAAAAACCTCATTCTGGTGTTTCACTTTGCTTTCCCCAAACACCTTACGGATCTCCTTCCACTTTGGAGTCCAGTCGCTCCCACCCCCCGACCGTATCACACGTGGCAGACTCCCAAATTTAAGGCTATCTTCCAGAAAGGCAAAAAGATCTAAAAACTCCGATTCGTTGTCTATGCAGAAGAGACGTATCGGATTAATCAATCTCCCCGTGTGTGAGTTCTCCTTTCCATTCACCCGGTTCCTCTCTCTCTTCCCCAATTTCCTTTTCTTACCTTTCTTTCCTGCCTTAACTCCAGCTGAATTCAGATAGGGAGACCACCCGTTGATATACAACTCTTCTAACTTCGCCAAATCATTACCCTCAAAAATGTCGACAGCAATGAGCGTATAGTTCCCACACCCGAATGCTGCAATCCATCGATGAAAATGTGCTTGCGTTCTATTCCTCACTACGTACAGATGCTCGCGCCATCTGACGGAACAGGTCCGCGTGGTCTTCCCTACATAGCACGACTTGCAGTAAGGGGAAATAGCTACATACACGACCCTCTCTAGGTTAAGAAAGTCAACCCCGTGTGTGTCATACAATCGTAGCCATGAGTCCACGTACCTGTTAAGCCAACGGACTTGCTTACTCAAAGCTAGCAGTATCACTACTAGCTGTAGTAGTACTTCCAGATTCCGATTGGTACAGCCTTGGGAGCATCGAATGCTCGTAATATATCTGCACACTTCCCACCAACGTTCAGGAGCTACGTTACTTCATCCCTCTGTTTCAGCGGATTCCTCCGCACCTGCATCTGCTGAGTCCGTGATCCGGATAACTCCCACGTCAGCGTTGTCTTCACCCCCATGGTATTGCTTTGCTCTGTGCTCAGCTATGTCGAAGATCGCATCCAACTTCCCCTCGTAATGCAGGCCTTCTTCTCGGCAGATTCGCTGTAGTTCATCCGCGTTGCACTCCTTCAGCTCCTTAATGATGGCGTCACGATACCCCAGTTTGGCCAGTGTTTTGCTGGCGGGTGTCAACCTCCCGCTCGGAGGGGATCTCTTCTTGCTCGATTTCACCACCTTGGCTAACGGGGTCTTCACTGGTGTCTTCCTCCTTGCTGTAATGGGCGTACGTGCCCCCTTCGTCTTCGCTTTGGACCTCGTCACACTAGTACTCAGTTCTCCCATCCTCAAGATATTCCGACGTGGCGTCCTCTTAGCCGGTAATTCCATTGGCGGACTGTCATCCAAAACCACATCGTCTTCTCTCTTCCTTTTCTCCGTTATGCACAACTTTCCCGCCTTCTCGCTCAGTTCTTGCGTCACACTTGTTTCGCTTTTCTCGCTGCCATACTCGGATTCCTCTTCCTCCTCCGAAAGAAACTCCACCTTCTTTTTCCCTTTGTCCTCCTTGATACCGCCTTTTAACATTGGTAACATCGAAGTCTTCCATTGGTGTAGCCAGTTGTCTTTTATCTCGCTCATCATCATCGCCGCGTGCAACGTGACATCCTTCTTCATTTCGGCTCGAAGCAGCGCATCCTGCTTCGCCTTCTCGTCTTTCTTCTTCTTCTTAGCTTCCCGTCTGGCGCCTTCTGTTGCTCGCTGTGCTTCTTCCTCTTCCTCCCTTCGTCTCGCTTCCTCCTCCTCCTGTTCCTTCTCCCATTTCCTCTGAGCTTTTTCTTCTTTCTTCGCTCTTTCCATGTCAGAGTGCTCTTTAATGGAGGCAACCCCTTTCGACAGTTCCGCAACCTTCTCCCGCAGCTCAGCCTCCTTCCGCAGTGGCGAGTACGTTTTTGGTTCATATCTTCGAGGGGAGCGTGATCTCCTTGAGTCGGTCGACGTTGATGGACGACTTGCGCGGCGATCCCGGTGAGGGCACTGATTCGCATAGTGCCCTTGCTCGTTGCAATTGAAGCACGTCACCGGTCTATGTGGTCTTCTTTCTTGACTTCCTCGGTCTTCATCGCGTCTCCAGTCGTAGCTGCCTCTATCATCGCGCCTTTCCAAGCCTGACATCTTCGTCAGCGTCACTTCGTACTGAACACACGTTGCTCCACGTGTTGACGTCAGTCAATAGTCGATGGTCAAAACGGATTAAAACACGCTCACTAAAACCCGGTATGCTTCCCCAGGCAAGTTCACGTGTGCGGTAAACGAATTGAAGTTGTTCAGACTGCAATTACTTCCAGAAATCAACCGGAAAAAAAAAAAGAAAAGTGTTTGCAATCCCCTCTTTGTATTATGTATTCAGATTCTGGAATGATAGAGGAACAACAAAAGAAAACAAAAGGAAACAAAAAGCAAACAAACAAACAAAAAACAAAAAAAACCTGGAGGGTATGGACACACGGTCACACACAATTGGCTGCAGTAGATAGACACAGATGTGCAATGATATGGCTCCCACCTTGAACAAAACCCTAGAAAGAAGTTAAAAAGTTAATGAAGAATAGACTCAACAGAGTCGACACCACAAACAATCATTGCGCGGTAGGTGGGTACACCCATGACCTGTTCAAATACAGACCTGAGTTCGAATCCGTATGGGATCAAGTCGTACTTAATACCAAGAATCTACGGAATAGAGTGCGCCTACCAAATTTAGGTAGGTGGAATGTCTAGGACAGCTGTTAAAATTGGAATGATACAGAGAAGGGTAATTAACATGGCCCCTGCTCAAGGATGACACACATAACTCGAGAAATGGTTAAAATGGCAGATTTAAAATAAAAAAATAGAGAACACGGCGATGACAGTTTTGCATCTGTGGAATGTGTGTGTTGTGGCAGGTGGCTGTAGCTGAGAGGACTCTGCGGAAAGTGTCGGATCCCCCGAAACCTCATCCTGAAGTATTGCCTGAGCGGCAGGAGCAGCAGCGGCAACAGGTCAGACTCTTTTTTTTTTTTTTTTTTTTGGGAGAATTTTTATATTTTCACGTGCAGCGAGATGTCATTCTCTTCTCGTCGTTTGTGAATTTTAGTTTGTGTGATCAAGCTTTTCTAACTATCAAAATAAAATTGAATTCATGCCAATACAGAATAAGTTTTATTTCATTGCCTGGTGTGTGGAGGGTCTCAGTTGTCGTTCGTTGTTTTGGCACTGAATCATTGACCTTAATGATCACACACGCAGCTCTCTCACTTTGGCAATGTCAAATTGCCGAGGCTGAGCTCCATCTGTGTTGTCTGTCATCCTTGCGGACCTTGCCTCAATCGAGAGGGTTTCAGTTCACATACTTTTTTCAGTACTTTTTTCGGTCTTCCGCTGAGGGTTCCAGTTGTCGTACGCCGTGTCATTGCCCTATAACTGTCATAATTGCCTCAGCAAGGAGGTTGTCAATCCCTCCGCATTCCCTCACGTTGGGGGGGGGGTGAGAGGAGAGAGAGAGAGAGAGAGAGAGAGAGAGAGAGAGAGAGAGAGAGAGAGAGAGAGAGAGAGAGAGAGAGAGAGAGAGAGAATCTTCGATGGGGTTTTCCATGCCTGGTAATGTCCAGGCATGGCGTCCACACGTACGGGGAAGAGCCTCCTCCGGGCAGTACTGGTTGGCTTGATCACAGCCTCTTTGATATGGTAGGCGCCTTTCAATCCGCTTCAGCCCAACTGCCTCATTGGGGTCTACTATCTTATTTCTGTCATGTGGGTCATATCTTGGTCAGACAATTGAACAGATCACACGGATGGATCATATCTGCTGGTTGGTGCATGGTATTTCAGGATTTCAGGGCCATCAACCCGAAGCGGCCAGCGATCATTTCCCAAGAGCAGATTCTTGCTGGGTTGATACGAGTTAGACCAGCTAACGCTCAGAAGAAACCGAAAATTGAACCTGAAAAGGATGGAGGGCTGGCTTCCGGGCAGCGCGCCTCATCCACTGCGGCATTGACAAAACAAGTGGACGGGCATGGCAGTGAGAGGGAGACAACTTGGTCGAGTGCTTCTGGAAGTCCATCGAACAAACGTGCCGTTGCAGATCCTGAGAAGCAGGACAGAGAAGGCTGCAGTACTGTCCTCAGTACAGTTGGGGGACTCGTAGCATATGCAGAATCTGATGATGAAGATGACACATAGTGCATGGACTGTCTGACCAGCCCAGGTGGTGAAGGGAGTCGTTTGTGTTGGTGTGTGTGTGTGTGTGTGTGTGTGTGACTGTCTGATCAGCCCAGGTGGTGAAAAGAGTCGTGTGTGTGTGTGTGTGNGAGAGAGAGAGAGAGAGAGAGAGAGAGAGAGAGAGAGAGAGAGAGAGAGAGAGAGAGGATTGTGTACTCTTTCCAAGCATTCCGCTTGCTTTGATTGGTAGTGGGCTTCTTGTTCTCTCTCTTTGGAGTGGATGGTATGACATTTTGCTAGAAGTTTCTAAGAGTCTATTAGTGTGCCTACGTTATCAGCTGATACTGAAGGTTGATTTCATGGATATGGTGGTGGTAATCGGGATATGCAAAGGGAAGAGGACCTTTGATGATGGCTGATGAGTCTAGCCAGTGACGGAGAAGCAAGAGGGAGAGGAAGAGGAAGAGGAAAAGGAAGAGGAAGAGGAAGAGGAAGAGGAAGAGAATAATGCAGTGAGATTCTGTGTGACCGATATGTCTTCAAGGTGCTGCAGAGCTCTGCACAAGGAAAGATGGCTGTTATTGCTGTTCTGTGAGTGGTGAGTGGGGTTTGCTGAATGTGGCAGAGGTTCCCTGGCCCTGTCCGGAACCCCAGGCTGGGCTTCCTCCCTCCTAAGTCTTGGGGGCATGTATGCTATCCCAGTTTCTCTGGCTTTCTTGTGTCTGTGTCTTCCCATTGTACATCTAACCGCTTGTCAATCCAATATCCCATTTTCTATCTTGTCTGTCCATCTGTCTGCCACGCTCTTGTGTGCATGCCGGCCATGCATGGACAGACAAGAGATGAAATGAGACAAAACGGGGATGAAAATCGTAAAATGGTATAAATGGGGGCGACATGGGAAAAAAGTGGTATAAAAATAGGGGGGGAAATTGGGAAATGGTATACAAATATTTCAAATGGGATAAAAATGGGATTAAAAAAAGGGGCAAGATTTATACTAAGACGGGGACAAAATGAGATAAAATCATAGAATATAAAAATGGAATTACAATGGGGTAAAAAATGTAAAAATTTCAGAAAATAAATTCAAAAATTGATAAAATTACATAAAATGGGACCCAGCCCATGTGGCTGAATGCTATACTCATAACTGTCAAATCAAAATCCATCAAATGGTATGCCTGCCTGTTTTCTTGTCTGCTTGCATGTCGGTCTCGTTATGAGGCTTATCTAGTATCTACTATCTACCCATCCAGATGTCGTCCTGTCTGTCTGTCCATCACATCATTCTCTCTGTCCCCCTGGCACACCCCCAACCGATTGAAAAGATTCTGGCGGGAAGCTGTCTTTGCACGGGCATGCCCAGTGTTAAGGAGAGGAGGAGGGAAACGAAGGTCTCCTTACTTTTTCGGGTAATACATGTAAAATACTGACGGTGGGATCACGAGTAGTGCACGGCAGGATTTGGGTCACGCAACTGCCCCACAAACTCGTTTCTATCCTATCCCGTTGCTGGTGGGACCTCGCCCCAGATGTCACCCTCTGTCTGTCTGTCTGTCCATCGCATCATTCTCTCTGTCCGCCTGGGACACACGCGTAGGGACTTTCTCTGCTGAAGGTTGAGTTCCATCAAAGCTCTCTCACGTAGGAAACTTCCCCGAATTCTCAGGGGAAAGCTTAAAAACTATTTCCCCTGAACACGTAGCCTGATCATGAATGTATACAATCTATTTTCCTGGTCCGGAACGGTCATGATGGGGGTGCGTTGTATTCCGGGGAAGATGGTATCAATCTGCCGAACGATGAAGACAGCTGCAAAGCACTCTTTTGTTTTTTTCCCCCCCAGCTTTCTAATTTCAATTGGGTGGGTGTGACTCTTGTGTGCAATAACCCACTGAAATACACCTATGTCGTCGGGCAAGGGGGCCACCCGCGGGCCGCAGACCGGCCTCGAGGCCCTGCGTCCGACCGTGGAAAACAGAGCCCCTGAACGAGGCTTCATAGGCCCTGCACCCAACAGTCGACCGAAGTCAACTGTAACTCGGGAGATTGAGACTCACGAGTCAAAGTCTTCACGTACCCAGTCCGGGCCACCGATCAGACACACACACTTGGTTGTACGCAGGCATCCAGGCAGCATTTAGTCCAAGTGGAAGTCTGTAATTTTGGAGATCCAGGCCGTCGGCTGTGAGTCAATCTGAGCGTCTGTACGTGAGAAACCAGAGGCTGGTCAATGGCGTCGACACTATTTATTGACCCAGCCCCTGGGGGTCAACATTCAGTCTTGCAGTTGTTGCTTGACGCTGGCACGACACTGGCAAGACGCTGGCAAGACGCTGGCACTACGCTGGCATTGTGCGACGACGACGCGAGACTGCTGCTTTGCGTGCTGGCACGTCTCTTCCTCTGGCGCCAGCTGTGTTCTTTGATGGAATTGATGACGTGGTGCATGCCACACTGTCTTCGACACAGATCGGGGATGTGACAAGGAGGGAGATGAGGAATTGTGGGATTGATTGAGCGAGGGAGAGAGGGAAACTGACCTGTTGATACTGTCGACATTGCTCGCTGCAGAGGGGTCTTCATGGAAGATCTGTGCCTATGTGGCATTATGCTGTGACCAGATCTTGTCGGACTCATTTCTGGGATACTGTTTTGCTGATGTGGACGTGGGGAGATGCCCGAAGAAGAAGTGGGGATTGAGGGAGATTTGTCTATGTGGACATTGATGGATACTCGCTCTTCCACCCTTCTCCGTCCTATCGGCTTCTTCGTATGGTTACGAGACGACGTACTATGGATCACATTTCATGATTATTGGAGACGTTTATCAGTGCTGAGACATCTTGTATTTCGATACTTGACGAGTACCTCTTCTGACTGGGTTCATTGCACTTGTTGAATGACTTTTCACAACAGGACTATTAGTCCCAGCGGATGTTGTAGATGGGACGATGGTCAGACCCTAGTCGAAGTGGGACTGCATGACAGCAGAGTTCCATTCTGGAAGTGGGACTTCATGACAGTATATTTCCATCATTTGCTGTCGAGACGTCTATCCCAATGAATGACTCAGCTCCACAGCTATACTCTACGATCAGTCTCAAGTGATGTCGTCGGTGAGACAGGTGGTTTAAACACAAGTGGAAGTGGGAGTCCTTCACAGCAGAGGAGTTGTGCCATTTGCTGTCAAAACATCTCATCACCCTCGCAAGCACTATCATCAGTCTCAAGCACTCTGGGCCATTCCATGCCAGCAGAGTTCCGTCGTCTTTTTTGCTGTAGAAACATCTATTATATAGCAATTGCTATCATCGCTTACAATATAGTCTAAAGCGCTCTAAGACCTCGTGATACAATGATCACCGAAACACCTAATTAATGCCTTAGAAAAACGCCATATTATTTTCTTCACACGAATAGTACACCCGGTAATTATTGTCGTATCTGGAGTGATAATTGCATCAAATACAGATACAATAACTGGGCGTTCTATTCGGGTGAAGATGTTCGTCCTACCCTTTCGGCTTGAAGTGGCAATGAACTCACCTACGATAGTTTGAGCAAATTGATATGTGCACCCCATGATCTCTGTGAGGGGCTATTCCCGCTTACCTTTTTCGTACAACGGTCTACGGCCGAACACAATCATGCCCTCAGTATGAATACTTTGAATAAATACAAGCAAATTTTCCCCTCCGATGCACTCGTCAATATGCATTGTTCTCAAGGAAGATGGTGATCACGTTGTGGAGTCAAAGAGGACAGACTTGACCAGGTTGAAAGGGAAAGCCTGGTCGATCTTATAATGCACTGAGCGGAACCTCACCAACTCTTCAAGAACCCATGTACAAATTTGTGCATAGCTCGGCAATATCCAGACGTCAACAACGCAGGCGCGATTTATTCATACGGCAACACACTCCATGAGGACGTCGATATCCAGACATATTAAAAAAGAAGTACAAGCCACTTTTTATTAATACCAGAACACCCACGATGACTGACGTGAGTTAGAGCGACTCATCTCGATTGATAAAACAACTTTATGCACATACCAGTTTCTTATATCAAGTCCAAAGTCGACCTGAAGACACCTGACAGCGAAGTTGACGTGCAGAAATTGAGAGCAGAAATCAAAGCACTCTGACACTCGTTGACATTCAAATGCCACCGACGTTAAGTCAGAGATCCAAAAACCACGGCAAAAGTTAACAGTAAAATTGTCGCTCAAGGACACTAGTAGTAGAGTCATAGAGTCATAATTTCTCATAAAAGTAGTCACCATAGCTCCTCGGGCAACAATCAGCGTTCACCCCCGTACAAGGAGTTGTCCATCATATCTTCCCCAATCGCAGCGTGTACAATAGCAGACAGCAAAAATCAAACACAATCCACATTCTCCGAATATCAAACCAATCACATATTAGAACAATCTCTCTCTCTCTCTCTCTCTCTCTCTCTCTCTCTCTCTCTCTCTCTCTCTCTCTCTCTCTCTCACATATTAGAACAATCTCTCTCTCTCTCTCTCTCTCTCTCTCTCTCTCTCTCTCTCTCTCTCTCTCTCTCTCT